ACACATAGGTTCTCTGGGACTCTGAAGTCCATTTGCTTTCCAGTGCCGGATTGGTCTCAAACTTTTTCTCAAGACTACAAATGCCCTGTGTGTAGCCACCACCAAGTTTGAGATTTTTCTGAGATGGTTTGGTACTTTTTTAACTTTAATTGAATTTCCGCCCGAACTCACCGATTAATTATACAATGATTAATGAAGAACTTAAAGATTTACGTTACAATTACGTGAAAACTAATTTCGTGTCGAAAACCAATAAATTTAATAATTTCAATTAAAGTCTACATTTTTGCATTAACGAAAATAGTGAGTATTAGTTGCATTATGTTCAACATTTATAATAAAAAACACAATAGTTTAGGTCACATATTTTTTTTTGTGTGTAGCAAATGAAAATAAAGTTTATTACTTTTTCTAAAAAAATTTATGCCTAGTATTGAATTTACTGCGCAAATAATAAGACTTAAACATTTAAATACAAAATATATATAAAATAAACTGATCTGCTTAAAAGTTGGTGGGAAATAAAAATATAGCCCACCTTTAGTCCCAGCTCCTGCCACCAGCTGTGACTAAAGGTGGGCTGCATTTGGCGGCCCGTCAATAAATCCTTTGGTCTCGGCTCCTTTCAACAGCGGGACTAAAGGTCCCCCTTTAGTCCCGGCTGGTGGCAGGAGCCGGGACTAAAGGTGCTTTAGTCCCGGATGGTGCATAGAGCTAGGACTAAAGGTCCCTCTCCTATATACCGCCGCCTCCCTTCTCTCTTCCTCCTCATCGATCGTCTTCGTCTTTAGCACGTCCCCAGAGCTCCTCCGCCACCGATTCGCCTCCCCAGCCACCCCCGACGCCACCTGCTTCCTCACCGGAGGGCACCCCGAGGCTCGCCCACCTCGCCGGAGTAGCCCCGACGCCGCGCCCCTCACCGAGGAGCCCCCGGCTGCCCCCGATGCCGCGCGCGCCACGCCGTCGCCGATTTCGCCTTCCTGGCCACCCCCGCCGCCGCCTTCCTCACAGGAGGGCACCTCAACGCCCGCCCACCTCGCCGGAGTAGCCCCGACGCCGCGCCCCTCAAGGAGGAGCCCCTGGCTGCCCCCGACGCCACGCGCGCGCCACGCCACGCCGCCGCCACGCCACCGCGCCTTCTTCCTCACTGGAGGGCATCCCGACGCCCACCCACACCTCACCGGAGTAGCCCCGACAACGCCGCGCCCGGCCAGGAGCCCCCGTGCCTCGATCCAGTGCCGCTATCCATCACCGCCCATCGCCAACACTCCATTAATTCTAAACCGCCGGTATATATATATATATATTATATTTATTATATTTATGAATTATATTGACGAAATGTGTATTAATTTATATATGTATGAAATTATATATGTATGAAATGTGTGTGTATATATATATCAATTAATGTATATATGTATGAAATTATGTATGTATGAAATGTGTATATATATCAATTAATGTATATATGTATGAAATTAATGTGTGTATATATATATATCAATTAATGTATACATGTATAATTTTTCCTTAGGAAAAAAATCAATTGTGTTATATTCTGATACCATGCCGCCTCGAAGGTCTCCAACGCCTGTTCCCCCACCTCCTCCCATGAACCAGGGAAGACGGCTGCAAACAAATAATTCATCTTCCCCGCCGGCGAAGACAACCAAGAAGGCCCCCGTGAAACCAAGTCTAATTCCACAGAAATTGCCTGGTGAAATGAGTAAAGAGGAGTTAGATGATGTGATTAAAAAAACCGTCGAAGCATTCTTCTCAGGCACAGGGAAGAGGAAGCAGCAGGAGCAGAAGCACTTCCACCTACCTCCAGCTAAACTAAGGCGGATGGTGGAAGCTGAGCAGAAAAAGAGGCGGCAAGCTCGTAAGCCCTCGCCACCATCAGACTTTGACCGCACTCTTAGCAAGATAATCAAGAAAGTTGTTAAAGCAGGGAAAACTGTTGCACAACTCGGAGAACAAGAATTGCAATCAGTCCCTCTTCTAGTTATTGCTAATGAATTTGGTTCAAACATAGATATGCTGGATATGATGGAAATACCTGCTGATAAAGAAGTGGATATGACGGAACTTGCTAACTTTTTTGCTATGAGAGGTATTGACCTTGGTAATTTCCTCTTCGAAAGTGCACCGGTAGCGGATGAATGGCAGAAATATGAGCATGGCAGGAGTCTATGGAATCCTAAGACCATCAATGAACTGGGTACATAATTGTTCAAGCTAAACACCTTGTACCTCGACGCGTGTCACTGGAACGAGTTCTATATTTCTGTCAGAATCAAAGACGACCATTGGTTCCGTGGCGATGACGTTATGTACATTGAGTTAGCTGAATTACACCAACTAGTCCACCGGAACTCTCTCGACAAGACTCTCATCAGCTGCTATTGTTTGTAAGTGATTCTTTCTACTAATTAATAATAAGTCGCTACGTACGTACATGTCTTTGTTTATTATCCTCACTCTATATATATGATGTAGGTTTGAGATGGGAGAGTGCAAAAAGAGAGGGTGTACTGATATTGGTTTCATTGATCCACATATCGTATTCAAAAACCCTAAACCCCAACCAACATGGAAAGCAGAAACGGAGGTCAATATCAAGATGTTCTTAGAGAAGCAACGTGACAAGAAATGAATACTCTTCCCCTACAACTTCAGGTACGTGTTCATAATGTCGACGATCGTGTATCCATATATATATATGTTCACTGTACCTGTTAGCTAATTAATGAGTGTTAATGGACATGGCAGTGAACACTGGATGTTGATGGAACTCGATCTGGAGAAAGGTCATCTAGACATCTGGGACTCGATGAGAAAAGAGCAAAAAGAGTTCCAAGAGATGATAGATATTATTCAGAGGTAATTACAGTCTCACTAGCAAAACTATTCCAGTCTCTCTGCATGCAAATTAATGGTCCAAATATTTTTTATGTTATTTGGTAGTTGTTGGGAAAAGGTCTGTCAGGAACACCATATGAAACACAAAGTGCCACTGAAAGTAGTGCTATACGAAGTAAGTATTATATACCTACCTTAGTTCAATTTCCCTATGCTCGGATGATGACAAATCTTTTTCTCGTAAAGTGGGTTCTGCGGCAGCCTCAGGGGACCAATCTCTGTGGATACTATATTTGCGAGTTCATGAGAGTGTGTTAAAAAAGAACTAGTCTAGAGGAAAAAAGGGTAAGTGTACACACATATATATATATATATATTCTTCATACATATATATATATATATTCGTGATAGATACAATTTATTTATCATTATTCTTGATATATATATATATATACATATATATATATATATATACTAATATACTTTTTCTTTATCTCATATCTCAAATTGAAGACTCGTTGGTTGAAGGAAAAAACCCTGGACACACACCATTTCAAAGCAATCCAAGAGACAATAGGTGGATTTCTGAATGATCAGGTCTTAACTCCCGGCGGCGAGTTTTACTATGACTCAAATATGTGATGATGAAAGCCAAATTTTATATTGATCCAAAGAACATGTGATGATGAAATGTACAATTAATGCAAACTTTACATGTGACAATGAAATATAATATTATGTTTTAGTTTACTTTTACTTGTGTTGCTTGCGTGCATTGATCGAGCGAAAACTTTACAGTACGAGCGCGTATACGTATATTACTTTGCAGCGAATAATGCGTATTCGAAAACCAAATTAAAACAAAAAAGAATCATCAATTGAAATAAGCAGGAAAAGAAAAAAAAGACCATTTAATCCCGGTTGGTAATACCAACTGGGAATAAAGGGGCCAGCCCAGGCGCTGGTGTGGCTACCTTTTTAGTCCCGATTGGTATCACCAACCGGGATTAAAGGTCCACTTCTATTCCCGGCTACTGACCCTTTATTCCTGAACTCCTATTCCCGGCTGCGTAACCGGAAATAAAGGGGGTTGGCAGCCGGGAATAGAAGCCCTTTTTTTACTAGTGTATTTCACGTGGAATGGATTAGTATATGCTACCACGTACTGTTATGCATAAGGCCTGTGTTAATTATTTGACGTGGATTATGTTACCTCTATATTACTAATATAATAATAATTTAGCGAACAATAATGCTAGAAGAAGGATATTGGCTTCTATCATCAGCTACTCTGAAATTGTTTTGTCTTACCTGAATGCTAAGATGGAGAAGAAGAGGATTGAGTCAAAAGAAAATCTTTTCCGGAGATACCATTTTTCTGAAGAGGCGATAAGATATTAGGTGGTAGTCTGATACCACAAAGAGAGAAAAAAAGATTCTTAGAAATAAAAAAAGAAAAAATTAGGTTTATGTTCAACGGCCACTGAAACATTGTGCGTGCCCCCGGCCCGGCAGGCTGGCAGATGTACGCCGTTCAAAGCGTGCGCTTGCATAATCCATATATATAATAATATAAGCAAGGGGCCCTTAACAACAATGTATGTATTATAATACATATTATATATATAGATTCATGCATGAAATAGACCAACACTGCTGATTTCTCCACACAAAAGCTAGATAATTGTTATACATTGTATTCCACTGACGACTTATTACACCAAGTACGTTGCGTTATAAGCATCTTAATTAGCAGCGGCCTATGTCATTTAGTTATTATTACACGCTGTTTAATTTATCTCCCAAGCATATATATATGATACATACACATTTATGCATGTGCACCTATACATCATATGTACATATACACACATAAGTGACGCCTAGATACAAGCTAGCAATATACAATACACGGCTAGCATGGCTTATATATACATATGCCTGCATATGATATGTAGTATTGCCAAGCAATTATAGCGCATGCTGCCTGGCCAGTGCTGCTAGATAGCAAGCAAGTATAGCTAGTATAGTTGAGTAGTAGTGTGTGCTTATTGGGTCACTGGGATGGATATGCATGTCCATACTAGCTGGTCCATGGAGTACGTAGTGTAGTGGTTTGCATTGCATGTGAAGATTCATGAGTACATCCTCCTTCCCCCAGAGCCGGCCTCACGCTGGCAGTTGAAGTAGACGGCCGCCACGGGAGGGCCCAGGTTGTAGAGCTCGGCGAAGTCCCTGGTGTTGAAGTTCTGGCGCCACCCCGGGGCGTACACCGTGATCTGCCGCCCCAGCTGCTGGAACAGCACCAGCACGAAGCGGTGGATCCCCATGGTCGGCCGAGGGCTCTCGTAGCGGATCACCTCTTGCCCTGCATGCCACCAGCAGAAGTTGCATCATATATCACCCATGCATCCATCACGTACGTATACGAATATATATATATATATATATATATATATATATATATATATATATATATATATATATATATATATATATTATATATATATATATATATATATATATATGATCGAGCATGCAGTACCATATATATATAATTAGCTTATTACTTAACCACTTCTCCTGTATTTCATGTACCTATTTTTTTGAGTTGGTCTTCTTCGGTGAACATATTATTTTATCATTGTTTGGCTAAAGAAAAAATTATAAATTAAATTATCTCTTGTCAGTTGTTCTTTTGATTATATATACTAGCTCGTTGTATAAGATCGTTGCCACCTAAAATTAAGGATGGATCCGGTTATGATGTCCAGATATCCGAAGATCCGATGTCCGTATCTATTCTATCGTAAATATGGATATCCGTATTCATATTCGATTTAAACATGGATGTTAAATAGATGTATCCGTATTTATTTTTTGAAGATTATTCTCTCTATCCGATTCCACGTTTGTATCCGATAAAAATATGAAATATCCAATAATATCCGTATACGCGAAGTACAAATTATTTGAAACCATCTAAATCTTATAATTATGACTAATTAACTATGCAAATGATAATATTTTAATATAACATACGATATGTGCCATTATTTAAAAGTTATCTATGGATAATGTAATTTTAATATTATTAACGATATATAAATCCAAAGTTTAACTAATTTTAATATGGATAATAATATTAATTAGTATTTATTTTATCTATATACTTCTAGAATTTATTTTTATTTATTTGAATTTAGTAATTAATACATATATCTCTTATTTTCTTATATTTTTATATATTTAATTATTGAAATATTGATTAAAATATTTTTTGGTAGTTGTCTTTATCCACAATGTTATATAGCTATATATATTAAATTCCTTCATCCATAATGATTTTATTACACTACGGAACTATCGATAAGCAAATAGATACATGTTATCTTCAAAATCAAGTAGATATCCGACTTCAAATCCGAATTCGAGATAAGTTTTGGATTAGTATTTGACAATATCCGTATTCGTATTCAAATATGAATTAAAATATGGTAAATAGTGGTATCCGAATCCATATCTGTTCGAATCCGATCCGAATCCATCCGTACCTAAAATATAGAAACTCTCTTAATTATTTATATGACAGGTCGGTGGTGTTCACCATATATCTAGTAGCTTAATTACGTGTGTAATGGCATATAGTTAATTTGTACGTCTCTATATAACCGACCAAGCAACAAGCGTAACTCTATGTTGGTGTGCCGTATGAGTTTGATCCGGCCGCACAATATAGGAAATCCGGCAGTGTAGTAAACAGTTTGTCTGGATCAGTTAAAAAAAGAGAGAAAAGTTTGTATAGACAGACAGACAGACAGACAGTCTATGACAGGGCGGAGTGACATGCATATACACTCACCAAATGCAGCCCCAGTAGTTCCCGGAATATCAGTGACCAGCCTGCGTGAACAAGACAGTACAGAGAGGATATGGTCAATAATCCAGTCATATGATGATAATATAGTATAAGATTTTACTGCTCCTATATCTTAGATGCCTGATTTTTTATTGTTGTCCAGACATGTAATTTTATCATTGTTTATTGGCTATTATTAAAAGAAGTTGTGAATTGTCTCTTGTGATCAGTTGTTCTTTTAATTGTACTAGCTACTAGATGATTAATTGTGTAATATTGTTACTTAAAAAGTCCTAAAAGTTTCAACCATATGAGATATATATAGTAACTCCCATAAGATTTACATGCTACATATATACAACTAGCTGTAATGGACTAGCCGCTAGCTCATACATATAGATAGCTAGATAGAGTGAAGTGAGATCGCGTCCAGGATTGTGAGTATATATATTTACCAGTGCAAATACTCCCTAAGGTTTGGGTCGCTTGGGCTCGGAGCATCCGGGTCGACCATCACCTGAAGAACGAAGCCATTATTATTATACTCCTGTTATTAAGCCATATATTTAACTGTTCCATTCTTTCATTCCAATCATTTTCGTTCATGATATATCACGAATCTTCTTAATGAAAAACCACGCACCTAGTTCCTCCTAGGTACGTTGGATCTCATTTTTTTATGATATATGATCATGAATGAAATAATCACCACCACCAGAATCGATATCTATATCAAAATCTAGCTAGACTGGCTAGAAGAAAATGATGTGTCGGATCAGATGAGATCTGGATGTGTATATACGTACGAGGGTGTAGAAGGTCCTCATGTCGGGTCCCCCGACCTCTACCCTGGGCTGGTTCACCACCATGGACGGCTTGAGCTCGCAGCCGTTGGATACGGTCCTGGTGCCGTAGCTGACCCTGAGGTTGGTGGTCCGGACGAAGGGGTCCAGGACGTCGCCCACCACCCTACCAACCACCAGCGGCTCCCTTTCCCTGCCGCTGCCGGCCATGTCGTCGTCCGGCCGATCCCTAGCTTAACTGCTGCAACTTGCTCTCGAGAACAGGAGTCCGTTGTACTCTATGTACTTGCTAACTGGCTAGCTGCAGGAAACTGTTTGGTGTTGGTTTGCATACTTGTCCCACAGCCGATGCCCAGTTTATATAGGAGTATGTGAAGCTCGATCTCATCAGGACTAGCAGCAGTAACAACTTGCTAGTGGCCGGGACATGTTGTTGGCTGATGAGCTAGCTGAGGTTTACTGCTGTGTGGCTGTGTGCAATGGCCATATACTTTTGTTGCTGGCTGAGTCTGATAGCACAGGCCGGGCCCATAGAATCTCGATCCAGTCCTTTTTCTCGATCTATCTTCATGTGTGGACCTGATGACACGCCCGGTATATGCATAGTGTTGGGGGGCATTGTTCGCGCGCTTTTGACGACGACCCCCGGCCCAAAGCAGTGGCTAGCAATAGCATCTAGCTATTGGAGACCGCACGCACGTACGTACGCTGCACGTAGACGGTAGATGTGTAGTTGCTGATGAGATGACATGCCTGTTGCATGCTTCTAACGATCTCTATCTGTCGTCCCGTCTCTATATGAATCATAAGCACGCACGCAGCTGCTGCGCTCTCTCCGCTAGCTCTCTTCTCAATCAATTCCCGTTGAGTCTTGGGCTCCAACTAATCTGTCGAGAGCATGTCTGCCAATCAAGCGCTAGTTAGACACACATGCGTGTATATGTTTTTATTTGTTAATGATCACCACCCTTTTAGTTTTCACAGTGTGTGTGTGCAATTGTGCATGCACTGATTTGTTCAGGCAGCATATAATAGGGGTGTTTCTTGTGCATATACTACAATAATGTCCGCCTCATATTCTTCATTCTTCATTATTCTTCATTGCTAGCTGGTGCTGGTCACCTATCCGACCCATCTGCCGCAGCATAAACTAAAGCTTCGTCTTTTTTATTTGGCGCATGGCATAGTAGTGACGATGCATGATGCTAAAGGTGAACAAGATCAGAACACGTTGGATAGTCAAGGACGGTCGAGCAATAGGAATTTGTTTTGGGGGACAAAGGACCTCGTTAGCCTGTGTGTGGTCGGAAAGGATGAAGAAGACGGCAATGCAGACAAGTCAGATCACTTGCCATAAAGGGTATAGCTTACACAGGACGCGCAACCGTAATAGGTTAAGCAGCTAATTTCCCATCATTATCCCTCAAGAACATGGCACGTATAAGTATCACCACTAAGATCAAGCTAGCTAGATTAAGGTCCATTAAGTTTGGCACAGTACAACTCACTGTAAAGACATGCATGTAATTACATTATTACAACCTCCTAGAACAACAAAGATAGTATTGCTCAAGATCCCTATGGCGGTATCCATGTATAGGATAATAGTAAATTATGGTATAGATTACATGTCCATTACTAAATCTAAAATATATTTTTCCAAATTAATGAGGTCTACATGTCGGTGGTTTTTAAATACTCACTATGTCCTCCAAGTTTCATCCCTTTCCAACGACTCCAATTCAGCATCACACACCCCTCCGTTTGGTGAGCTTCGACGCGACCCACCCCTCTGGTGACGCGCATGCATCCACACCACCCTCCTTGACCTAGGTTCGCCCCTCTCCTGCTGATGACGCACCTGTTGGATTTATTATGGGCTAGGCCCATTTATATATCTAATAAATCAATAACTCTAAGGCTTGTAATTGTGGGTATTATTATTTGTACTAGATTGGAAGTTAAAATGACGTTGACTCAACTTAAATGATTGGAATTGATCCGTCTAATTTGAGAAGTTGAGAAACGGACAAAGGCGTGCCACACGCGTGCGCGTGCCGCCGCCGGCCGGGCGGGCTCGGGCTCGGGCCGTGGCGTGGCGTGTTAACTTTTTAGCACCCACTAACCACGGGAGTTTTCAACTCGAAGCCGGCTGACTCCTGATCTCCCGGGGTCTCTCTGTCTTCTCGTGGCATGCCTCCGAGGCCTCTCGGCTTCCCCTGCGAGTCTTCCAACTCCAGTTAAATAGAGAACACATTCCGGAAACACAATTTAGTTGCTCGATGGCTTTCCTCATCTCGTAACTCTGCGCGCACGGAGAAGCGAGAGGGCAGGTGCCTCCGAAGCCCTTGTCGTTCGGGACCTTGCTCGGGGGATCGGCAATTAGGTTTTTGGGGAGCGTCTACGCGACTGCCCAAGAGTCTCCGTCTCCGTACGTCGTCTTCTTCCCGATCGCCGGCGTCGCCTTCCTCGAGGGAACATCTTCTTCTCCTACGGCATGTCGAATGCTAGAACTTCGGAATTGCGGATGGGAGGGTATGATCGTTTCATCTTCTCTCTGTTTTACTTTCTACATGTTTCAGAAGTTCATCTGTGTTGTTCCATATGTTGCCATCAGTTTGTTTCATATGACCAGTCATGTCGTTTTATAAGACGTCTTATGTCTGTTTCTGCCAGATATATGCTCTGCGTATGTGTTTTCTTTTTACAGTCATGTTTCTTCGTATGTAGCTTTATGCTTGTTGCAAATATGAGATGTATATCATGCCAGTTTCTCTCTGTTATGATTCATGAATCAAGTTCACGTGTTTTTGATCTTCATATGTTTCACATGATATATGATCTAGCATGTATTTTCACCATGGATATAATCGATATCATGATTTCAATGATTAATATTTCTTTATATGTCATCATCATGCTGTTAATTTATGGAATTAAAATGACATGGAAATTGCCTATTATTCTAACAATCCAAAAATCTAATTATAGGCATTTTTCTGTCAGAGGTTTTGCTACCGTGTTAAAGCCTGATCCTTTTGATGGTAAAAACTTCTTGATTTGGAGAGCTAAGATGGAATTGTGGCTCACTGCAATGCCATGTTATCATGTCTCTGAGGGCAAACCAGCTGACTTGCCTCCTGAGGATGAGGCTAAGTTTAAGGCTGATGACAACCTCTTTCGAGGTGCAGTGATTAGCGCACTTGATCCAAAATTCCAGAAAAGCTATATCATCCTTCCTACAGGGAAAGAGCTGTGGGATGCACTTGTGGGAAAGTTTGGAGTTACCGATGCTGGTAGTGAGCTGTACCTCATGGAGCAGCTGTATGACTACAAGATGGTTGAAAACCGATCTGTAGTGGAACAGGCTCATGAGATTCATGCACTAGCTAAGAAACTTGAGCTCTTTCCATGTGTCTTACCTGACAAGTTTGTGGCTGGCGGTATAATTGCCAAGTTACCACCTTCTTGGAAGGACTTTGCTACCTCACTCAAACATAAGAGACAGGAGTTCAATGTTGAAGAGCTCATTGGTACTCTTGATGTTGAGGAGAGAGCGAGAGCAAAAGACAATGGAAAGAGTGTTGAGACCTCTACTGCTAATGTGGTACAGAAGAGAAACTTTGGATTCCGCAAGTATAAAAACAAGAAAAACCCGAACAAGCAAGATAACACAACTAAGCCTGCTTCAAACATCACAGTTTAAAAAGAAGAACAACAACAAGAGAGATGGAGGTCGCTTTATGCATGGCGGTGAACAAAGACTGGGGCAAGTGAGTGCCCCGAGCGCAAGTTCAAGCAGAAAAGAAATCAGCAAATGTTGTCACTACGATCATCGAGAAGGAGCATCCGGGTATGGTAATTCTTTACCATTTGTTCTTTCAGTATGTAATTCACCTGAGTGGTGGATGGATAGTGGTGCAAATATTCATGTGTGTGCTGATGTTTCTCTGTTTTCTTCCTACCAGGTCGAGAGGTCTGGCGCCTTGTTGATGGGAAATGGGTCGCGTGCTCATGTTCTTGGTGTTGGTATGGTCACTCTGAAGTTTACTTCGGGAAAGACGGTGCCATTGAAGAGCGTGCAGCATGTGCCCTCCATCAAGAAGAATCTTGTTAGTGCGTCTATGCTATGTCGAGATGGCTACAAAATTGTTCTAGAGTCGAATAAATGTGTTGTGTCGAAACATGGTTCTTTTGTTGGTAAATGATATGATTGCGGAGGCTTGTTTCGCTTATCACTGCATGAAGTGTGTAATAAAATGGTGAACTATGTTAATATTTCTGATGAGTCGGATTTATGGCATTCACGTTTCTGTCATGCAAGTTTTGACTGTCTTATGCGGTTAGCAAATCTAAATTTAATTCCTAAATTCAATTTGGTCAAAAAGTCTAAGTGCCATGTATGTGTTGAATCAAAACAACCCCGCAAGCCTCACAAGGCTGCTGAGGCGAGGAATTTAGCACCTCTAGAACTTATCCATTCTGATTTGTGCGAAATGAATGGAATTTTGACTAAAGGCGGTAAAAGATACTTCCTCACGTTTATAGATGACTCCACCAGGTTTTGCTATGTGTATCTCTTAAAAACAAAAGATGAAGCGTTTAATTATTTTAAGACCTATAAAGCTGAAGTTGAGAACCAACTTGAGAGGAAAATAAAGCGGTTAAGGTCCGATCGAGGTGGAGAATATTTCTCTAATGTCTTCGATGAGTTTTGTGTGGAACATGGTATTGTTCATGAGAGGACACCGCCATTCTCACCACAATCCAATGGGATTGCTGAAAGGAAAAACCGCACTCTAACAGAGTTAGTGAATGCCATGTTGAGTACAGCGGGATTATCCAAGGAATGGTGGGGTGAGGCGATTTTGACAGCATGTCATGTCCTGAACAGAGTTCCAACAAAGAATAAAGAGATCACACCATTTGAGGAATGGGAAAAGAGAAGATTAAATCTCTCATATTTGCGCACTTGGGGTTGCTTGGCTAAAGTAAATGTGCCAATCAACAAAAAGCGTAAACTTGGGCCTAAAACTGTTGATTGTATTTTCCTTGGTTATGCCTTTCACAGCATTGGTTATAGGTTCTTAATTATAAAATCTGAAGTTCCTGATATGTATGTTGATACAATCATGGAATCTAGAGACGCTACATTCTTTGAGAATGAATTTCCAATGAAGAATACACCTAGTGAAACAAGTCATGAGACT